AAGCTGAATGGTAATTTCTCTCTAAATCATCTGTATGGTAGCAAATTCTTACATCTTGTTCAGTTGATCAAAATAATCCTTTTTCAAATGAAAATTCTAATCTAGATGCATAACATTTCCTCCTTACACAATTTCCTCTTGCTTAGTTTTTGTTTATTTACAAAGAAAACTCTAATCAGTCTAGAGATGTTTCTACAATAGTATCATCTGCATAAATCTTCCTATTTTACAATTAATAATTACAATTAAGGTTGCTCACCTTTGTGTAGGATGTGCCTTCTTACACAGAATCTTAATTTTTCTTATATTGGACTATAGTGTGATGAAGTGGAATAAAAACATAGGTTTAAATGATATATAATGTGTTATAATCAAATGGTTTTCTATTTTGTATACTTCTTCTCTAAATATTCAAAATATGTACATGTACATGTTTAATATGTGGCATGTCCTGTAAAATACGAGAGAACAAATAATTGCTCTAAGAAACTTATCTGTGGACAAGGATGTCTATGGACATGAGGGAAATGAACCTTGGGAAACCACAGATCTGGTGCATGTGAAGAACTGCCATTCAGAGCAGGACTCATTCTGATACACATCTCAGAGAATGTACACCTGAAACTAATATACTACTGTAAATCAGCTATATTACAATAAAAAAATCTCAGAGTGCTCAAATTCTAAGACAGCTCTAAATAAGCAATTTATTGGTCTGAGTATATATCTATGATAGATTGATTCAAACAGAAGGCCAATTTACTTGTGAAAGTGATCAAGACAGAAAAAAAAGTATTACATTTAAGCATCAACTAAGAAGAGTTGAATTATTTATAAAGAAATATTTCCTCCAAATAAAGAATATTAAAATTCTAAATATAAACATTAAAATTAGAAAATTAGATTTCATTTATCTATGTAATCTCATTTTGAGAATGTTTCTAAAATAGTTAATTCATCTAACTGTAAAGATATAGACTTTATCTGAAGGGAAGATGTTATCTTTTGCTACTCATTTTGTTTCCTTTTCTCTAGTTTCTATGAAATTCTCCAAGGAAAGTATTATAAATTCATAAAAATTTTCCTGTGTTTTGGCTGGATTTTCAATTCTGCTCTCATCTGGATGTAAACTTGTTTGTATAGGATAAGAGCAATTTGTCTTATAACTTTCTTAGAGTATGATAGGAATATATTAATACCTTGAAATTAAAAAAAATTTTTTCAGTGATCATAAATGCCTTTCTAAGTATTAAAATACAGTTATTTTTACATACTTGATCAAACGTATATTTTTACTCATTATGTCAGTAGTTACAAGAAAAAAGGTGAAATTGTATTAAAAATGCTTCTTTTAATGATAAGCATTGTGTGGTCTATGATCCCTTGATTAAAAGAGGCTTTGCTGACACCTACAGCCTTAATTGATTCTTTATGTGCCCCCAAGTTGTTTTCTTTTTTTTCCCCAGTTTTGGAGAAATGTTCCGTGGTTAGATTTGGACTGGATGTAAGTATGCTTTGTTTTCCTTTAACTAGAAAGAACGATACTGTAAAAGAGTAGATAAGAAAGGAAGACTAGCATGATAGGTACCTCCACCATGTGTTCTGAATGGGGCAGTTTAAGGAAGTGTACATTTGAAAACTGAATGTCTAAAATACATTGATTTCTTAAATATGCCTATGTCTCATAGCCCTCAGAACATGTTCATGAACTCCTAGAGATGTATCTATCAATTTGAAGACTGCTGCTTCATGCAATTTCATGTTAAATATAAATAACTTTCCTTTGCTGTCCACCTTTTAAATAAATGCCCTCAAATACTTTGAAAGAAATCTGATTTTCACTAGAAGGATACATGTTTCTCTTATAATCCACCTAAGGCAATATAACTATTCATGCATGATCCAGAAATGGGTTAGCATTTTCCTCACTTCCTAGTATGCTTACAAACTTTTAATTTTTCATTTGGTGTCAAACATCTGATCCTTTGGAACTTACACCATATGATAAGTGACTATTTCACTTTTGTGATTTACTAAACTCCTAACTCTCCTAATATCTTAAACTAAACTAACTGAGACAGAAGACCTCCTTATAAAAATCCTCCTCTTGCCTCCAAATTCTATCAAGAGTTAATTCAATATTCCTACATGACTCATCCAAAATCCAAGGCATTGATTCTCTATGAAAGTCCTATTGACATTAAGAAAGCAAACTTTATACTTGAGTCTGTTTTGGTTATCTCAAGGTACTGGGAATTTTTGACTTGCCCTTAAATGCAAGTAGTGACCCCTCCCCAGTCCTGTAAATAATCAAAACCAATTCAACATGCTCCTAACTCTCAACAGGGAGAGTTATCCAGTCCAGACAAGAGCCACAATTTAAATTCTTCCACCTCTTCATTACCATTTCCTCTTCACTTTTTTTCTAGATTTTATTTTATTGAAGTATAGTTGGCTTACAATGTTGTGCTAGTTTCAAGAGTACAACAAAATGATTCAGTTATAAGATAGATATTCTTCATCAGATTCTTTACCCATATAAGTGTTTTTACAGAATATTGAGTGGAGTTCCCTGTACTATACAGTAGTCCTTGTTGGTTATCTATTTTAAATATGGTAGTGTGTGTATGTTAATCTAACCTCCAAATTTAACCCCCTGCTACATTTCCCTTTTCACTTCACTTCTGTAGCATATTTGTAAGGTTTACCTCTGCTTTAAGACAATTAATATTAATTACCTAGAACTCCTCCACTGTTAAAAGACTAACTTTGAATAGGTTAGCTTTGTATCTTAACCTCCTCAGCTTCCACATAACCTTTTTATTCAGCTCTTTCCACAGCTGCAATTGTATGCTAAGGGGTCTCTTCCATAACACCATTGTTTCGCCTTCTTTCCATTAACTACTTTCTAAGTCACCTAGAATCCATTATCCATTCAGCCATTCTATCGCCAATATTCTGAACTTCCTAGTTCCACTGTCTTTTCAAGCCATATTGCAAAATTCCAGCTCTCAATCTACACAGAATAATAAGCTAGCCCCTAGCTGTGTGTGGTTATTTAAATCTTAAATTTTAAGTAATTAAAATGAAGATATGAAAAAACGTACCTCCTCTGTCTAGCTACATTTCAAGTACCAAATTCCACATGTGGCTGGTGGTTGCTGTACTAGGCACAGAAAAGAACATTTTCATCTCTACAGGAAGTCCTGTTGGGCTCCCCTAGGCTGAATGCTTTATACCGACAACTAGACTACTGAACCCTCCAGAAGAGAACCATAAGACCATGCAGCTAATGGCCTTGTACATTTCTGTGCTTCAAACTTACCTGCATTGTGGGTGTTGCTCATAGAAATAAATATGCTTGATACTCTCCAATCCTCTATTTCCAACACTCTCCATCTTCTGCTTAACAAAAGCCTACTGTACCAAACCTGCTCTCACTGTTCCTGCCAGCAAATCTGCAAATTCATTCATCCATATTTCTTTTGTTCCTTCCCTGCCTTTTTGGTAGAACATGTATCCCTCCTCCTCCTTGAAGTCGGGTCTTCAACCTCTGCTGAGCATCACGACAGGGACTTTCCCCTACTAATACCTTCCTTTCTGAACATTTTCAAACTTTCTGCTTTAATGGGTCCATTTAACATGTTGAGATCTCTCCCTTCAGGAGAAGCGATAACAGCAAAGCCTTGATTCCGTAACATATTGCTAGCTCTTCAACAATCTTTTTGAATAACATCCTACATTTTCTTTGTATTCTTACCTCCCACTCATTCACTAATATACTACAATTTGCCTTCTACATCATTATTCCCAGAAACTGACCCTCCATGGTGACTAATGACCTCCTGACTGGTCCTCAATGCATACTCCTCAGTCTGTACCCTATTAAATTTCTCTGTAACATTTGAGATTACTGATCCTCCTATTCAAGAACACTCTTCTCTGGGACTTCCCTGGTGGTCCAGTGGCTAAGAATCTGCCTTGTAATGCAAGGGATGCAGGTTCAGTCCTTGGTTGTGGAACTAAGATCCCACATGTTACAGAGCAACTAAATCTGTGGGCCACAACTACACAGTCCATGCACTGCAGCAAATGGATCCTGCATGACACAACTAAGGCCTGGGGCAGCTAAATAAACAAATATTTCAAAAAAGAACACTCTTTCCAGATTTTTGTCTCTAGTGACACATCTTCCTGGTTGTCCCCTTGACCCCTCTGTTTATTTAGATAGTTCTGCTTCCTTAACTATATATATTGATATTCTCAGCAATTCCTTCTGAGCCATCATAACATGTATTTATTTGTGGGAGGGGAGTACTTATTTTCTTTGGACTGATATCTCTATAATTTTATAATGTCTTATATTGCAACTCATCAAGATAATGGCCTGAACATTTATTTTCTGTTTCCCTTGCTACTGCAGTGAGGCATGTGAGTTAGGTGAGGTTACGCCTATCAGAAACACTTTCGAAGTGCTAGAATCGTAAATTCAGTGAAGATGAGGAAGCAGGTATTTGGGGCATTAACCTCCTGATGAGGACTCTAGCTCTGTGCCGACTGGAGTGGCAAAATTTCTGGTGTTTATTTTGGTGTTATGGAGTGGCAGAATTTGTGTGAACTTTAGTATTTCCCTAGAAATCCCTCATTGTAGTCTTTAGTGCTGTTCCCATCTATTTCCAGGCCTGGATCTCTGAACTGGATTCTCTAAAACACACTGGAAATTTCTAAAATAGATTTCTTTCCTGCTTAAACACAGATTATGTTTCTATAACAACTAGAACAGTGATCAACACAGCCTTGAGTTTCTTTCTTCCTTCCTTCTCTCCTTTTCTTTCTTTCTCATTCTGTGTGCATTTCTTAAGTGATCTGATTCACTCCCATAACTGCAATTATTATTTTTATTCTAAAGATACCTGAATCATATGACTCACTCAGGCTTCCTTCTTAAGTTTCATATCTATACATAAAGTGTACTACTCTGCTTATATTTATTCTTTCAGGAAGTTAGAAGTATCTATGCTCCCAATCTGCAGCGTCAGACAAAGTTCTGGAAACCCAAAGGTGAGTTAAATCAGAACTAGTCATTAGTCTTGAAACCTGAAGCTTGGTAGATCAGAAGATGTGATTGTAATTGCATAAACACGTGCAAAAGTGCAAGTTTGACAACTGCAGGAAAAGAGGGGTGTAGTGCTATGGGGACCTGTGAAAGTGTTTGAGCTAAATAGGTTAGGAAGAGCTTTTTTCCTAAGGAACTGGTCTGTAAAGCTGTGGTCAATAGAATGAGAAAGAGTTGAAACAGCTACTGAATAGAATTTTTGGTGAAAGAAAGCGTGATGTTCAGAGCCTATTGAAGGAGAATGAGGATGCTGGACTAAAAGAAGCCAGTGTTTGTTGGAGTGGAGGAGAAAGGGGAAGGGCTAGAGAAAGATGATACCTGTCACTAGAAGGGCAGAAATGAGGTCATGCAGGGATTTGTAGACTAATTTATGGATTTGGTCTTAATCTTGAAAACAATGAGAAGCTATTGAACGGTTTTAAGTAGCAGGATTATGATGGGAGGTGACAAGATCAGATTTATGTACTAAAAACTCACTCCTGCTTCAGAGTAGAGAAGAGATTGCAGTAAATGGAGAATGAAATCAGGTACACTAGTTCAGAGCCTTTTGCAGTTATCCAAATAAAAGAAGACATCGAGAAGGCGAGTGTGGGATGTTTCGAGAGAACAGCATCGAAACATGTATATTATCTAGGGTGAAACAGATCACTAGTCCAGGCTGGATGCATGAGACAAGTGCTCGGGCCTGGTGCACTGGGAAGACCCAGAGGAATTGGGTAGAGAGGGAGGTGGGAGGGGGGATCGGGATGGGGAATACATGTAAATCCATGGCTGATTCTTGTCAATGTATGACAAAAACCACTACAATATTGTAAAGTAATTAGCCTCCAACTAATAAAAATAAATGGAAAAATAAATAAATAAAAGAAGACCTCTTCCCAGTGGCTCAGCAGTAAATGAAGAATCTTCCTGCAATTCAGAAAAAGCAGGTTTGATTCCCGAGTCAGGAAGATCCCCTGGAGAAGCAAACGGCAGCTCACTACAGTATTCTTGCCTGGAAAATCCCCTAGACAGAGGAGGCTGGCAGGCTACACTCTGTGGGATTGCAAAGAATTGGATACGACTGAGTGAGTGATGGAAAGTGCGAGTTGCTCAGTCGTGAGCAACTTTGCCACCCCACCCACTACACAGACCATGGGATTCTCCAGGCCAGAATACTGGAGTGGGTAGCCTTCCCCTTCTCCAGGGGATCTTCCCAACCCAGGGATAGGACCCAGGTCTCTTGCATTTCAGGCGGATTTTTTACCAGCTGAGTCACAAGGGAAGACCAAGAATACTGGAGTCTGTAGCCTGTCCCTTCGCCAACAGATCTTCCAGGAATCAACCTGGGGTCTGCTGAATTGCAGACGGATTCTTTACCAACTGAGCTGTCAGGAAAGCACTGAGTGTCTAAACAACAACAAATCAGAGATAATAATGTTTAAGGGGGTTGGTGGGGATGAAAAGAGCTGAATAGTTTCAAGAGGATTTATAAAGGGATTTACATATTGAGCTTTGTAATCCTTTGGATATGGAGAGTAAGGCAAAAACACATGCCCGAATGCGAGTGCCTTTCACTGGGATGAACTCCAAGGTGAGGGTCAGGACAGCCATAGAGACATCTCATATTTAGTAGGTCTAAAAGGAGCATCTTGCCCTCTGCCTGAGCCTAGCCTTGTTTACCTAGATCATTCTCTCCATTGCTTAGTCCAGGTGTCTGCATATCATACCATCTCCTTCCTCAACAGCCTATCTAGCATTAACTATTTTTGAGTCTACCTACCAAATGTCCCATTCCGAGGTGAGACATCATCAACTTACTGGAATAGTCTAATCTCTTCATGCCTCTCACTGCTTCTGATATTGTTCCTATCCAATCTGTTCCAAACTTCAGCCCAAGAAATCACGTAAAAAATCAAAGCTAATTATAATATCTGTCTTATTGAAACCAGGAGCCAATGGAGGTGGGGGTAAGGAAGTCTGCCATGCTGCAGTCCATGGAGTCACAAAGAATTGGATATGACTTAGCAACTGAACAACTTATTGAAACCCTTTTTTTCATTGGCTCCTCATTGCTTATATGATACTAGTCAATCATCTAAACTCACCTACGAATCGCTGCATGATTTGAGCCTCATCTCTCAGCACTTTCCACACCCATTCTTTTCTCAAGGATACAGCCACAACACATTTCTTTTGATTTCAAGAATGCATGAGACTCTTATTCCTGCATCCCTATGTATGTTATTTCCTTCAACTAGGATATTCTCATTTTATATTACTCCACTCCATCCCAGCTCTGCTGGCCTACTCCTGCTTTGGCATCACTTCTCCTCTGCTATTTGCGTGCTTATCCTTTTCTGAGGTCTTCTGGAAAGTGTTAAATTTTCATGAGATCAATGTTGTATTTTTTCAGCAGCCTATTTACATTTTTGTCTTTCCTCTCAATTTTGAATTTTTCGACAGCAAGGATAGCTATCACTGCATAATCAGTATCTTGCAGTGCTTGAAATATGAAGTGAAGTCGTGTCCGACTCTTTGCAACCCCATGGACTGTAGCCTACTAGGCTCAACTGTCCGTGGGATTTTCCAGGCAAGAGTACTGGAGTGGGTTGCCATTTCCTCCTCCAGGGGATCTTCCTGACCCAGGGATCGAACTGGCTCTCCCGCTTTGTAGGCAGATGCTTTACCGTCTGAGCCACCAGATACTTGCCCATAAATTGATAACATTGAATTGATTGAAATTAAATTAGCTGCTCATACCTAACCTCATGGCCTCGACCTAAACTTAAAAAACAGAGACACGCATGTAGATAGGAAATTTATTTGTGCATTCTTATGTCTAGTATCTAATGGTTTAAAATGTCCGGGACCTTATCCATTGATGATACAAATGTCTGAACAAATGAAATTAGCACTAATTCACATGATAAAGTCGTATATTTAATTATAGAATTTATAATTGAAGCATTTTGCTATGCTCTTTAATGATTAACAAGTTATCCTTAAAGAAGGTTAAAAGATCTATGTAATATTATTTCAATTCAGATGCAGAGTCCTCATCTCCTTAACTAAGGAAAGATAATGTATTGCATGACCTTTTTAAGTTTTTCTCTGACTTTGCAGTCATCTAAGCATATTTCATGGAGAAGGCAATGGCACCCCACTCCAGTACTCTTGCCTGGAAAATCCCATGGACGGAGGAGCCTGGTAGGCTGCAGTCCATGGGGTCGCGAAGAGTCGGACATGACTGAGCGGCTTCACTTTCACTTTTCACTTTTATGCATTGGAGAAGGGAATGGCAACCCATTTCCAGTGTTCTTGCTTGGAAAATCCCAGGGATGGGGTCGCACAGAGTCGGACACGACTGAAGTGACTTAGCAAGCATATTTCATAGCTATTTGATGCCACCTACTGGTGAGAGGTGATATTTTTCCTGAAAAGAAGAAGATTGAAATTTACATAGATCTATTGTCCCTTTTCAAACCTATAAGGTAGAGAGGGGATTGAATCTCTCTTAGCTGTGTGTGTGCGAGTGAATATGTGTATGTGTGTGAGTAAATGAGTGTGTATGAGAGAGAGAGAAAAGAAGAAGGATGAGGAAGATGTGGGGAGGAGGGGTGGAGGAGAAAGACAAGAGGACAGGAGGAGGTAGAATGATACTTTGAAGTTGAATGATACTTTGAAGCCCCCAGTCCATACGAGGACTTTTTCCTACACACAAAATTCAAATGTTTTCTTTTGGAATGCTCAGAAAATACCTAACATAGAAAGAAAACTTTGAATTTCGTTAACACTTGGAATATGTTTCAGAGAGGTGTTCAGAGTTATAATAAATCTTGAAGTCTAGTTTTCCATTTAGTTCTCAGTGTTCCTTCTCTGCTGCTCTGCTGCTTGCTTTAAAAATCCTTATAGGTTTAGCTCTGCTTACTGGAATCAATGAGAACATAACTTTTAACACCATTATAAATTTAAAACAATATTAACGAATATTTTTTCTTTGCATGTTTAATAGATATCCCCTGTAAAATAATTAAATCTGATATTTGTTTTTTGTAAAGTCTTAAATTGTTTATTAAACTTATTTAATAGTTGTAGCATTATGTAAGTGCTTATTAAATTTCTTTACATTGTAATAGTATAGTATTTAATAATCACTAAAGAAATTTAATTAAGACCTAATGCTTTGATATTTTTCTTTATACTTATTGATTAAAATTATATTTTGTCAAAACTGTCTCAATTTAATCTATTTAAAATCTATTGGCAAAAAAAGGTATTCATAGATGTCTCATCTCTTCACAAATCACTTGTTCTCATATCCAATACTGTTTATATGTGTGATATTTTTCTTAGTTTATTTTGCTTGTCTTCCTCAATTTTAATCTGTTATCTCAAAAACAAAATTAAAAGACCTTTTCTTTTCTCTAAGAATTCTTCCATTTTCTTTTGTTTGTAATATTGAGTTTTATACACTTTGAGCTTATTCTGACATATTATTCTTTTTCTTCCTAACTTTTAAATTCTTATTTTATTGTTCACTTCAGTAGTCTTTTAATTTGAGAACACTGTAAAATGTATTTATTTGTTTGTTTTTGGCTGTGCTGGCCCGTATTGCTGCACTGGCTTTCCTCTAGTTGAGGAGAGTGAGGGCTACTCTCTAGCTGAGGTGTGCAGGCTTCTCATTGCGATGGCTTTTGCTGTGGGCCACAGGCTCCAGGGCACATGGGTTTCTGTAGTTGCAGCATATGAGTTCAATAGTTGCAGCTCCCGGGCTCCAGATCACAGGCTCAATAGTTTCGGCACACAGGCTTAGATGCTCTGAGGCATGTGGGATCTTCCTGGACCAGGAATTGAACCTGCATTGTCAGGTGGTTTCTTTACCTTTGAGTCACCAAGGAAGCCCTAGAACAGTTTTATATTTACAGAAAGATTGTGAAGAGAGTTCCCATATACCCCATATCTA